ATTCCGTGCAATAATATAAATTGGAATTCCCTCAAAATGCTGCTTAAATTACTACATCTGGGCCTACTGAATATAGATTGTAAGTTTTTTTTTCTTAAAAATCGCAATTATGTAGATTTTCTATTTTATCTCTCACCAGCCTTTGATCACTTATTTCTTTCACTAATTCTTTGTAAATATTTTTCTTAGAAATAATTGTGTCTAAAGATAATTTTTTCCCATTATTCATAAAAGTCAATCTTTTATCTTTAGCTATAAATCTGTACTTCATATAGTCCGCTTTCAACTTGGAGGAAGTGCTTCGTATATTTTTTTTTGATTTACAGTAGATCTACATTATCCAAACCTTTACTAAGAAAGTATAGGTCTCTGACTTTAATTCCCCATTAATATAAATTATATGTTCTAAATGTGTTGCGGTATCAATTCAACTTGGATCGGGCTGTCCTTTGATCATCTCCAGCTTGTACATAATGGCTTTGGCCGTTGATGGACCCCATATTCCATATTCCACGAGGGATGTGTTCTGTATGACGTTATGCTTTGCCTTTGGCTTTGGCTTTCAATTTCGACGAGTTCCCATGCAGGTTTATTTGTAGAAAGGCTAGTGTGTTGTTAACCTTTTGGCAGAGGCTGTCGATGTGTTTCTTCCATCTCAAGTCTGATGTAGTGACACAAGGTACTTCGTGGCTTCTACAGGATAAAGTTGTTTAGCTTATACTTGTGTATTATGAATCCTGTTTCGCTTCCTAGTGACTGATATGGTGTTCAGTTCCGTCATCCATCCACCTGCTAGTGCAGTCATGTGCAAACATTCAACCAATTGGAATATTGTTGTTATAACTAATATTAATAATCATGTACATGTATATAGATATAAAGGCGTAGTTTAAGTGTGATATCTCTATTCTTATAATGACTACAATTATATTTCCACAAAATATAGAATAACATTAATATAAATATTATATTAAACTACTATTCTCGCATTTGGAATTAAATGTGCCTTCTGAAATGTCTGAATTTCAAGACTATGGCCAAATACTTGTACTCATTTATTTTTACTTTCTTCTTTCCAAAAGTAACTAATTTTCTATATTAATCAGCACCGCATTTTCATCTTGCATTATAGAGGCAGCAACTCGACCGCAGCATTCACTATTTTCGGACCTCCCAGTATTCAAAAAATCTCGAATGATGGATGCTAGAAGAGACCTGTGTTTGATTCTTCTCATCTCATCATATGTCCAGTATGCTAAACCTAATAATCTTCTGATTGACTACAGCTCTAACACCAAAGCTGAGGTTAGCCAGGGCTCCCAAGCACAGTTTGAATGTTCCTCATCTCGACAAATCCCTGCTGCTTCATTGCGAACCGGTCGGATTAAGTGGAGCCGAAACACAAGATATTCGACGTCCACCCAAGTCATCGCACGTTGGACCAATGATGGAGGAACTGAGATCTTACTAGATGATCCTGATGGACGATATAGCATTGAAGGTGGACTCTCAGGGGCAGGACGTTTCAGACAATACCTGACCATTCGTCAAGTTCAAAGGATAGACCAGACTGACAACACTGGTTACTATTGTGCTTTATTCAACTCTTCTAGGAGTCTTTTGGTGAAATCTGCATACGCTCCATTGACCGTCAAATATCCACCTGCAGATCACTATCCTCTTTGCACGGCGACACCGGACGACATATCCAAAGACGTGGAGCTGATGTGTACATCAGAAAAGACTACTCCAGGAGTCACGGTACAATGGTATAAAGACGACGTTAAGGTGTCAGATGCACATCAGAGTGGCTATAAAACTAAATCGTTGTATGATGCTCGTAGAGATGAATTGGTCAGTGAATTTGAATGCCGGCTATATTACCGTAACGGAGATGATGTCGAAGTTCGTCGATCTTGTAAATTCAGTGAACCGCGCGTGGCTATTTTCAGAATGGGAGGAGACCCTCGTACTGGACAAAACAAATACCACGCATTCACCGTATCTAACCCACCTCTCATATCGGACATCAACTGCACACTGGAAGCATCTTCCGCCACTTTTCAGCGGTTCGACGTTGAGTTTCCTGGTTACGGAGTGGTAGAGGTTGGACCTGTAGCACCAGTCGATAATGGTAGTAGACTGGTGTGTCAAGCGAGGAATGTTTTCGGAGTCGGAGAAGCCACAATGGTTGTATACAGTCCTAGCTGTGATCAGAACAGGGAAACTACCCTGCCATCAGTTGTGACCAACTACATGCCAGTCGGCCAAGATATTCAGGCAACAACCTGGCCCAAAGAACTTGAACGTGTATCATCTGCCACAATAAAAATCGGTAGAGAGAGTCCTTGCGACCCAAAACTTGCATTTTCTAGTTCAACTCAAGTACAGTCACACTCCGACGTAAACAAGTATTTTATCGTCGGCATTGTCGTTCTCGTCGGGTTTGGATCATTGTGATTGTCCTCTTTATATCGATGGTTCGGAAACAGAAACAGTGGAGTGCATGTTTTTGATGTGCCTGTGTTAGAGAGACACGCAGTTACTTTTGGTGTAGGTTTTCGCGAACTGTTTGACAGTCTTTACGAGTAAGTTACGCTTCTGTTTCAAAGTGAGTAGTTTGAGGTTGATATAGATGTATTTATGAAGTAATTATGATGATAAGAATGTCTGTTAATGATGTTGAACAGAAGTTTTGGTTAGGGCGTTAATTTGGTCATATTACGCTGTTTATACATAACATTTTAAGGAAATTTGCGATAAATTTGTTTTAAGCAAGATTTTCTGTCGACATATATTGGGAAAGATGTTTTGAGAGATTGAAAAGATGATTTAAAGATGTATTATCCAATTTTTTTTTCTCGCGCACATGTGAACTAAAAATGTATGTTGACGTTGAAGGCGCAAAATTTAAACTAACCAAAAAGAGGTTGCGGCGCCTATTGACTCGTAGGTATGAGTTGAAGGTTGTTTTATACAACTTTAGATGTACGATATGAAGAATAATGTTGATATTTTTCCGTTGTGTTTATGTCTAGCTTATCCCTTTAGATGTAGACAATATGGGAACTAACATTTGTGTGGATACTTGTAACTTTTATTGTTGTTACATTAAATTATATAATATAGGGGATTAGGGGCAAGAGGACTTGCAGTTCGTATTGCTGAGTAGATTGATGCTGGCTGCTTGCATAGTGTCTGTCGTTGAGGGTGCCAGACTGTAGTTGAGGATAGTGTCCCTTTATAGAACACTAGTTGAGGACAGAGCCATCTATACACAGAGTTTGGCCAACTTGGTTTCACTGGGTCACAGCATGGCGTATATTCTTTTGTTTTGTGCTTGCCCAACAAAGCAGTAGTCGCCATAGTGTGTCCAATTCGAACCGGGTCGGCCAAACTCTGTGTAAAGATGGCTCTGGTTGAGGGGAAAGGGACACTAGTTGAGGGCAGAGCCATCTGTACAATTTAAATAGATGGCTCTGGTTGAGGGCTTTAGTGGGGTATTTGCTGTAGACCTTGGGTACGTTTTGATGACATTCTGTTGGAAGTTTGTTACGCTTACAAACTTTGTGTAGCTTTACCGAGTCTAGTAATATTGCAGAGTGTATTACTATAATATCCATCCCTTTTACGATTAGACATCATGCATTTTAGGAGTGACTACTGACTAGTATCATGAAAGTTATGAAAAATGTATCCATTTTATACATTCTTTGATACACAGGTGGAAGTTTTTTTTTCAAGAGGGCAAACAAAGGTTATTCATGAAGCACCCCAATCACTTTGGCAGTGATTACGGTATTCTAAAATACACAGGGGGACTTTACATTTAAAGGATCTATGAATATTTGAGCCAATTGGGGGTGACTTGTACAAGTGCTATCTCCAAAGTGGCTTATTGAGCAATAAGATTAGGAATGGGTGCCACAGACAGTCATCTCGACTATTCTCAAGTGATTTTTAATTTCTGTTCTGTTCAGCAGTTTTAATACCAAGTGCTGAAAGATAAACTCCATTCTGGTAAAAAAAAAAAATTAATTCTCACAGAATCAAACAAAACTTACACTGAATGTTCAAGATTACAAATAAATGACATGTGCCAAACAATTTTGGAAGAAAATGTATACTGGCTGAGTAATGAGCATAGAAAGACAAGGAAATCAAGGTAGTACTAGCCCCGACACCATGTGTGCTGTCCCAATATAGCTTTCTGTGTACAGTGCTTGTTACTTTACCAAGACTCAGTCAAATCTATTATGATTTTGATGACTCCAGAACCTTGCAGTGCACACCAATACTTACATGCTACATGATCAACTGTTTCTGATCCTTTCCACACCTTTTCTTTCACAATGCAATCGCATTACCAGTACTAAAGTTTATCTTTAATCATGTGCATTGATGAATACGGTAAACCCATACATATATTAGAGTACAGTGTATACATATTATTATTATATACATGCTAGTCTGTAAACTGAAGCTGTTGAACTTACTCAGTTTTGCATCTATCCTACATGTAATGTAGATGTATCTTCGAGATGCGATTTTGCAGTTTTTTTGCAAAGAGTGTACTTGTACCATATATATCTAAGTAACAAATATAAGAAAGCTGTTTTAGTGTGTTTATGTGCCTCTTTCTTCAGGCATTTTTTATGAAGCAGTTAATTTATAACATATGATCTCTACATGTATCAAATACAATGCTATTCTTAATGGTACGTTTTTTAATGGAATGTGAAAATAAACTTGAACTTGAACTGAACTCATTCCATGTACTTGAATCTTCTTGTATGTGTATCGTTTGTAAAATATCAAGCTAAAACAATACATGTCTTTCCATGTATTTTGTGTTACAGTCCTGTGTACCAAGAAACTGGCAAGGAACAAACTTCAAAGATGCATTTTTGTGTTACTGCTATGACTTTCTGTTTCATGTACTAAATAGTACTTTTTATGACACCACTTTTCACGATGAATAACAGACTACGAGAAAAATATATTTTGTAAATGTTTTCATTTAATTTCTTAAATGTACAAAAGAAGCATGATTCATGCCTTGTAAATATGATGGAAGTTAAAGAAGGGCACACACAACAGTTTTTCCTGAACAAGAATTTAGTCGTTCTTCTTCGTCAAATCCTCCTGTACATTAGGGATACAAATCAATCAACCCAAAATCAATACAAGATGAATTGCTATGATAATACTTGTGTGTACATGACGTTTAGTATCAACGTGCAAAACTTTTCTCTTCATAACCAATGATTGCAACTGCAGATAGAGGTTTATACTAATCAAGTACATGACTTTTATATGTATTTGTATTCAAGCAACATTTTAATCAATTTCATTAAAACTAAAACCTGAACTTGAATCTCCAAATGAATTATTTCCCATGATAACTATTTCATTTGAATACCATAATGAACAAGAAATTGACAGAGAAATTGACAGAGAAATTGACAGAGAAATTGTCATTTCGCCTTGTATTTATCCATGTCACCCTCTGGTATGACAATTAATTAAACTGGCCATTCATCCGGAAAACTATAATCTTTGATTCAATTTCTTGATGAATAGGATGTTATCTTAACCTGGACCTAATATCTTTCATAGTAGAATATGTATAAACAAATAACCATGTTTTAAGAGGAAATATTTGACACAAGACATTTCTCCCCGTCTATTACAGATCAAGTGAGCCTTCATTTATGGGTCTTTCATTCAACAATTTTAGTTAAAAGACTTGAAATACATTTGTGTATACAGGTGTCCATACTTGGAAAAGAAAAACAGGGAGAATTTGATTTTTATGACATGAGGACATTTGAGGACATATCTTAATATTGTCTGCTGAGAGCTTGAGAGGTGTTAATGATGAAGGACATGCATGTAGTTGAACAAGCATGCAGCAGACAGTATCTTATAGAGGGGGCGGGGGGGGGGGGGGGGGTCCTCTACATTTTAATTCTGAACTGCAATTCCGTCAATATGAAGGAAAAAAAACTTCAATTAAATTTCATTTTAATGCCAATGGATAAGCGTTTACAATAACAAAGTCTACTAAAAGGACATTTTGACAGTTGCCTCTCGATCAGTGATGTAGTCAAGACCAACCTCTTGTTCCTGCTTTAAGATATCACCATTTCTTGGTTGCAATCAAAACGATGTACGCTACATCGATGTAACCCTGGTTTTCCTCCTGGTTTTGAAACCAAGGTCTCGTCTACATCACTGCTCTCAATCTTTGATGCCAATCTTGCCGATCTCAATCCAGTAAGTGTTCCTGTAGGTGCCCATTCTATCACTCCATCTGTCTCTTAATCACCTTCACAGTTAGTATGCCTTAGTCAATGAGAATCCGCAGTGATGGTTGTCTCTGGTACCATGTGCGTTGATCAAAGGATTCACAATAAATCCATTGCTGATCAGTCCATTAGATGCATTTTCCATACATATAGATGTATCATAAGTCAAGACTATGTTATGATCAGCCGCAGATTGAACATGTGCATCAAATATTCTGCCAATGTAGGCAACAACAAATATGGATGAATGACGTTGGGGGGGAGAAGACACTCCATTACTGAGGATTCCCACGGACTGATGCACAAGTTGCTGTATATATAATTCCATCTGGGTTTTGTTCCATCATTCTATCTCACAAGTTCCTCCTGCTTCTGTTAACTGTTTCATGATCTCTTCCGCTTCCGTCTTCCCAACATCAGCCTTGACAACCTGAGGGGCCGACTCCACAAACTTCTTGGCCTACAAAACAAAACAAAACAAAACATGAATCAAATGAACCCTTGGACGGAGGTCTTTGCATGATCTAATTTCTTTGATACAATCGATTTCACAACTTACCAAACATCCAATTTGTACAAAATCATGCATATTGTAGAAGACATAACCTTGCAATAATACCCATGATCATAATTCCCTAAAACTAACTCTATTGCATAAATTAACACACTATTCAAGAAAAGAATGCCTAGTTCCTAAAAATTATTCATTTCATATTTTCATTTTGGAAGAAGAAAAAAACCTTCGCCAATCTGCTTGATTTAGTTTTGTTTCATTTGATATAGTGGAACCTTGCTTTAAAAGATTTACTATTGAACTAACTCATTGCCAATTATAACAAGGTAAACTTGCCCATTTCTAAACATGGATTTTAAAAAATAAAATAAAAATAGGGGGAAGAGAGCTTGCCCAGATAAACAGGATGTTAATATATTTCTTTAGGCCCATACAGGTTCCACACATAATGAAACAAAATTAATTTACCTGTACTAGATTCATTCCTGATGTAAGAGCTTTAATGGCTTTGATAAGCTTTACTTTACTGGTATCGTCAAACTTGTTCAGTTTGACTGTAAACTGAGTCTTCTCTGGGGCCTTCACCACATCTCCCTCGTCATCTTCCTAAAATAATGAAATAGGAAGAAAATCAATTTCAAAAGTTATTAAAGATAACATTGAGTTCTGGTAAAAAAAGAAGATGAATTCTCACAGAATCAAACAATGAATGTACAAGATTACAAATAAATGTCATTTGACAAACAATTTTGGTATAAAATGAATACTGGCTGAGTAATGAGCATAGAAAGATAAGGAAATCGAGGTAAGTAGGCCCGACACCATTTGTGTAGTCCCATATACATCTTTCTGTGTACAGTGCTTGTTACTTTACCAAGAGTGGATCAAATTTATTATAATTTTGATGATTTCAGAACCTTGCAGTACACACCAATACTTACATACTACATGATCAACTTTTTCTGATCCATTCCACACCTTTTCTTTCACAATGCAATCGAATGACCAGAACTCAAATTTATCTTTAAATATCAAATTTCCTCCAATATAACAAACCTGCCAACCCTCCACAGAAACAAATGCGAGTCTCCCAACAGAAAATTAAGATTGCAGTGTATTTTGGATGCTTATTCACAGAAGGATCTCCTGGGGGGGGGGGGGGTATTTCACAAAGATTTTAAGTCAAACTTAACGCTAAATTGGACTTAACAATTATGGAAAGCCATTAGCATCCTTGAAAATGTTATTTTAAAAGGCATAAAATGTTGATTCAAGTCATTCATATTTTCTATTATCATGGAAGATTTCATGTTCTTGATTTGGAATTTATGAAAAGTCTTAAATTCTTGAATTTTTGCCCTTGAATATATCTCATTATAAGGCTACAAATGGCTCTCCATGAAAGTTAAGTTAGTGTTGTGAAACACCCCCCTGTTCTCTTAAATCTTTAATCGTTGAGAGCATCTGTCCTTACCTGTTCAGCTGATGCTGCTACTGCTGGCGCTGCTCCAACGGCCATCATGGGAGCATCTTGAATGTTCAATGTTTTCTAACAGAAAGCAAATACAGATACCGGTAGTTAAAGTTTAATGACCACTCATCAGTGCTTTTATGAACAAATGAATATGAATAAATATATAATTGTATGAATTTGTCACCTGATAATATCAACAACGAAATGGACCTATATCTGCATCTCTGGCAACCCCTCCCTCCCCCCCCCCCCCCCCCCCCCCCCCCCCCCCAAAAAAAGGCAATTTGTTTTTCTTCCCCCTTTCATTCCAATAATATCAACAAACATGAAAACAAATTGATATGTTCATAATTTATCATTTTCCATTGACATAAGATCAAGAGTTGTAATTATTAAACACTTCAAGACTCTAAAATAACTTGTATCCAAAGTTCCAAACATTCAAAAGTGTTATTCATCATTGGCAGGTGACTGCAATCAAATTGTCAGTGGTTGAACAAAAGATTGGAAAGATCAAAGTTTTAAGCAAATGATTTGCAGCTTCAAATGGCTTATGAAGATGTTAATTTAAATTTTTCACACACAGGAAAGGGGAAAAACAAACTCTCAATATCTTTAAAAGAAATTTTAAAAAATTAAATACATGTATTAGGTAGGAATTTGTTTTGTTTTGCTCTCTGTTTTTGCACCTTCCCCCCCCCCCTTTTGTTGTTGTTTGTTTTGAGATATCTTGCTCTCCAGAAAAAATTTGGATTGGCCTATAACAGCCCCAAATAAAATATGATATAAAATTGGTAGTAACACCTACATGAACATAACTCCCATGACACTATACAGCTTCATATTACTACCATGACTATGATTTTATCATAAGAACAGGGTTCAATACCTTTAGTAACTCGTTGAGATCGCTGACTTCTGATAACTTCAATGCTGCTATCTGATCGACGAGTGAGGAGATCTTTTCCGGGTACTGCTTAGGTTCATTATCTCTGGAAGGGGCTGGGATAGCTCCATTGCTGTACTGTCTTGTACAGGCAATCACTCTTGGTGTGTTGGCGTTGAATGGTCTGGATGAATGATGAAGTCTTATCCTGGCTGCTAAGGGTGTGTGTACTTCATCAATATTTCTAGACAACCTGAAAAGATCAAAATAAATGGACAGCACAAGTGAATTTGAGCTAAACATTATACATATGATGCTGGAGTTAAACAAAACAATGGAAATAACAAAATCAATGTAAACATGATCAAACGTACATACATTTTTCAGATGACTTCATTCAGGGTCTTTTAAAATATATGCTGCTACAACTTTCAAAGATAAAAATGAGGTTTACCCTATTTTAATGCTCATCATGTTCATAGCAGCATTATGTGACTTGTAGACCCTAATTTTCTGTTATAAGTCCCCTTCTTCTGTATCTCAACATTTTGAAACCGAACTGTGCATGAAAATAATCATGATGTACTCAGGCGTGTGTGCGCACAAAAAACAAAAAACAAAAAATGCATTCGTATTATGCAGGGGTTTGCAGTGAATCCTGTGAGAAAGTGTATTTACTTTGTTTTCAGGAAAAATACCCCAAAGAGATAGAAAATTGACACGAAACAGGTAAGAAAGATGATAACTTTTAAATCATGATCAGTAGGGGCGCTGGTCCGAGATTGAGGATCGTCCTCATAAATGCTGACAAAATGCATCCTCAAATATGAGCATGGTCTGCACCGAACCACCCGCTGGCGATGCCAAAAATGGATTCCCTGGAGGGAAATAACCCTAGTTCACCGTCTACTTTTATGGGTTGTCCGTCTAGCCTTCCCAATTAGGATTTAGTCTATTGCTCATAATGTGAAGTTCTCTGTACAAAGTCAATGTAAAATACATCAAGAAAATCATTGCGGTATCCGTTTTTTGCATCGCCTATGTGCCGATCAAAAATATGAAACGTCTGCGAAAATGCAGACGATCCTTATTTTTGAGGACACATCGGTCTGCGTTTACTGAGTCTGAGACAATCCTCGTTTTATGAAGACGATCCTTATTCTCGGACCAGCGCCCCTACTGATGATCATTTTTTGAACAATTGTTGAAGATTTTAGTTGATTTTGGTATTTTATAGTAGGGTGTCTCCACGCTGCAGTCAAAGGTCCAAAGTATGGTCACAGTTCTAAACTAGCGCCCTGATGATATTGTAACATAACTAGCCCAGTATATTAGTAAGACGTAGAGGGTGCGTTATAGTTAATTGTGAAATATACGTGTAGTACATCGTAAGATGTCAGTCAGTCAGCATTTAGCTGTTGTTGGGACAGGATCTATATGTTGTGATCTGTGAGTCAGCGTTGACTTGTCGTTACGACAAGTCCGTTACCAGGAACGAGTAAAGTTACTTGAACCATCTAGATCTATGTGCAAGTGTTGTTTCATGAGTTCCTGTCATGTCAGACATTCAGTGATTGCGGGAGTGAGTAAAATAAGAGCTAGTCCACGTTATTCTTACACGATATACTTTTGTGAGAGCCCACTGAGAGATATAGTTGATGAATTATTGTCGAGAGCGTGAACCGGGTTTTGAGAGACTGCAAGGCAGAACGCTACCACGGCAGAGCCCGGTTACGCCACAGTATTCTGAACAGACTGAAGTAGCGTCCTGATATTCTGAAATTCTTGATGATTCTCCTACACCGAAACAAACACAAGGGACCGAAGATAGAGCATTGACAAAACATTGAATGGTCATCAACACAATCAATTTTCCACAAGAGCAGTATTCAATTTACATTCAACAATACTTAAAGTGAATCTTACCTTCTTCCAAGAGTAAGCAGTCTAAAATTTGGTCTCAAACTTGATGCTGCAGTGTTCATTTTAAGAGATTCCGCGGAAATTTTGATTCACAATTTAGACAGATCAACTACAGCGTGTGTGGTTGGTTGGTTCTTCGTTTAGATGGCGCTCTTCAATCTCAAAGATTATTTGCGCCAGTCAATTTCGTGTGTATAGCTTTGGCGTGGGCTTCGGAAATCAAGCCCACGAGCGACTTTCCTTGGTGAAATGAAATTAATAGTGATATGGTTTTATTAAGAAAAAAAAAAGAAAAAAAAAAAAAAAAAAAAAAAAAAAGCTGCAATATTAAAATTGCATAAAATGCACATAAAAGGCGTGATGGGAGTTAGTTGCAATTGTTCATGGAAAAACCGCAAATACTTCATTTTATATATTATTACAGGATCGACATAAGTTAAGGGGATCCCTGATAGCTTTAAAAGCTATCTAAAACGATTAGTATCGTATATGTAACCCAATAATTCACGAGTAAAAATTGGGTTAGACATCAATAATTGTTTCAGATTGGGGTTGTTCAATTTAATCCTTTCTTTTAAGAGACGTCTATCTTTGTCGTATTTTGTACAATAGAAAATAAAATGTTTAATTGTTTCATCTTCTTGACAAACTTCACAAAGACCAGTATCGTGTTGGTTAATTTGAAAAAGGTAATAATTTAAACTACAGTTACCTACTCTTAGTTGTTGTATCAAGCATTCTTCTCTGCGAGATAGGCCTTGTCTATGTATGGGCTTTGAAACGTCGCTATGCAAAGCATATAAAAATCTACCGTGTTCTGCATTGTCCCATTCTGCTTGCCATAATTTGTTATAATGGATCAAACGAGAGGCTGCCAATTCACTTCTTGTATTTGGTATAACTATGTCTATACACCTTTTCATGGCTCCTTTTTTGGCAGCCCGATCTACGATCTCATTGCCCCTAATATCGCAATGTGACGGAATCCATTCAAAAGCAACACAAACATCCTTAAACTGCAAAATATTAATTATGGATAAAATTTCATTTACAATAGCACATCTAATAAAGTATGAATCGATCATTTGTAAAGCTGACAAAGCGTCGCTAAAAATTACCACCGAAGAGGATTCAATAAATGTATTAATCCACTCTAGTGCCATTAGTATGGCCACTAGTTCTGCTCTCATAATACAGACATGGGATAATCTAAAAAATTTCACCACATTATAATGAGACACATAAAATGCGGCTCCTGTCTTCCCATCCTCGAGTTTAGAACCATCTGTATATATATGTAAAAACCCATTCCATGAATTTCCAATGCTATCTAGAACAATCGATTTTATTTCAAATGGAGGCATTTCCTTTTTTTGCACTTTGCCATGGTGTTCGAAAGACACTTGTGGTCGTGCTAACCGCCATTCTGGGATTTTCGGCAATAAGTTGGTTTGCCCTTCCACCACTACTTCGTCTCTAAAGGATCGCAGTTTAAAAGGTCCTTCTCCTATCTTCCATTCTAAGTTATTTAAATCATAGTCATCACCCAATACTTCTTTTGTTGGGTGGTTTAAAGTACTAGACAGTAAATAAACTCGAAAGTTATCATTTAACAACCTTCTACGATATCTCAGAGGCAGCTCCCCGGTCAAAACTTGTAAAGCCTCCAAGGACACATTGTGTATTGTGCCTGTAATAATTTTTAAGGCTCTGTATTGGATAGAGTCAAGTTTTTTTGTTAAAGATATACAAGCAGAATCATACATTTCACTCCCATAGTCCAAAATGGATAGGATAAGTCCTTTATAAATCATCATCAAAATCTCATACTTACTTCCCCAGGGGGTGCCGGAGACACAACGTAGCAAGTTTATTCTTTTCTTATATTTATCAATGATAGAATCTATATGGACAGACCAAGTTAAATTGGAGTCAAACCTCACACCAAGGAACTTATACTGCTCGCATATAGGCAGATTATGTCCTTTTATTTGTAGAAGAATATCTTTCTTTTGTTTGTTGGTAAAGACTAATACTGCAGATATTTTGGTAGGGGAAACGTTTAACTTCCACGTCCAACACCATATCTCAAGCTCATGCAGGGCCTCTTGTAATTTCCTGCGGGCCAGCTCTAAATCCTTATTTGAACACCAGATTGCAATGTCATCAGCATAGCAAGATAATTTAACATCACTTACATTTATCTTGAGATCATTTAACATTAAAGTAAATAATAAAGGACTTAATGAACTTCCTTGCGGGATTCCATTTTCTAACGTGTAGTGGCGAGACATATAGTTATTTATCCTCACATTAGAAATCCTACTCAATAGAAATGCTTTTATAAAAAGTAACATTTTTCCACCAATGCCTAAGATAGATAATTTTCTTAGTAGACCTGTTTTCCATAGCGAATCATATGCTTTTTCTAAATCAAGAAAGACCGCTACGGTATATTTTTTACTTTTCAAGGATATATGTATGTCCGTCTCCAATCTCACTAAGTGATCTTTGACATTCCTATATTTGCGGAAGCCAGATTGAATAGGATTTAATAGTCTGTTTTTTTCTAGAAACCACGTCAGGCGATTTTTTATCATTTTTTCCATAATTTTAGAGAATGTTGATATCAACGAAATCGGCCTATAAGAGGTCACTTGAGTCGGATCTTTTCCGGATTTCAAGATTGGTATTTGAATAACCTCATACCACTGATGTGGAAAAAGTGAGATTTTCCAAATGTCATTATACAAGTTTAATAAATACACGAGTGCCTTGTTCGGCAAATTCTTAATCATAATTAAATAAATATCATCCTTACCGGATGAGGAGTTTTTCATCTCCTTTAAAACATTCCCCATTTCACTCATGTTAAAGTCATCATTGATACAATCATCATCATTTGTTGAAGAATTATTGTACAAGATATTTTCGTTTTCATTTTTAGTTACGGAAAGTGATTCATCAACCGATTTAAAATAGGTTGCCATTGCATTTGCTTTTTCCTCAGATTCTTTCAAGATATTTCCGTCTACAAATAGATTGTGAAAGATGTGCTTGTTCATTGTACTGTCCCGCATTCTTTTAACCTGTTCCCAGACTTTCCCAATGTCTGTAAATCTATTCATTCTACGGCAGTACTCTAACCAATAATCATATTGAGCTCTCCTGATTACCTTCTGAGCGACAGCTTTCTTCTTTAAGTATTTCTTAACATCATTTAGATCATAATACCTTCTTAACCTGTTTTAAAGACGATTTCTCTCTTGCACCGCCTTCTTGCAGGCATTGTTCCACCAGGGATTTACTTTTCTTCTCTTGGCAATCTGCACACGCGGAATGCACTTGTTCGACGTTTCCTTGATCACCTTAACAATCACATTGTATCTGCCTTGAATGTTTAGTTCTGCACCAAGATTTTCATATCCTTCTTTTCTCAATGCCTCTTCAATTTCTTCTCTATACTCTTCCCAATTAACCTTTCTAAAAGACCATCTCTGTCCCATATTCTCACCCCCTGGTCTATTGTACACATGTTTAAAATTTAAGCAAACCAGATTATGATCACTGCCAAAATTATTGGATAGTACTTTCCACTCTGTATTACGTGCTAATTCTTTCGATACTAAGGACAAATCCAGATTTGAGTATGTACCATATATGGGTCTAACCTTGTAGGAGATCCATCATTTAATAAAACCAAATCATTATTTTCTATAAAAGACTCCACAGTTCTACCGTTTGTGTCTAATTTGTTGCTCCCCCATAGAGGATTGTGACTATTAAAGTCGCCTAGAATCAAATACTTCCCCGGCACATTTCTTATCATGTTATTTAGATCTATCAGTTCAATCTTTTTACACGGATTATAATAGTTGAAGATTGAGATAACTCCGTTTTTACAAAAAATATCAACTTTTTGGTATTCGGCGTTCCTGGGTGTATCCATCGCCTGAAAAGTGATGTCGTTTTTTAAATACATCACCAAACCACCTCTTCTGCCGTCCGGCCTGTTTTTACAAACACAAACGTAATTGGGTATAGACAAAACATTAAAATCGTTAAACCAAGTTTCTTGGATGCACATTATATCTGGGTGAATACCTAACAAATTGTTATCAATAAGGGAAGATAAAAAGTTTGCGCCATGCGCCGTCAAGCCTTGTGCGTTCCATTGTACAATCAATAGGTCTGATATGGACTTATTAGTTATATGAGGCGACTTTTTACCATTTCCATGGTAATGTCCAGTGGCGTAGACAGGTTCGTACACCTGGGGGGGATGACTCAGGGGCGGATCTAGCTTTTTGCTAAGGGGGGGGGTTGACCAATAATGACGATGCGGAGCATCGTCCACGAGCCGCGAAGCGGCGAGCCGATTTTTTTTTTGGGTGTTTATTTCATTATTTGAACCCCGTAAGTGATGTTTTCCTGGCATCTATTAACACAATGGAGACCATACAAAGCAGTGCATGATAACGTCTTTTTAAATCAAGTAACAGTTAAATACACAGTTATATCCAGAGTTATCATGTGTTTGGTTAAGTTACCAGATAAGTTGAATATCTTCTCACAATATTTGCACTTGAAAGGGTTTCTCTCCAGCGTGCGTTCTTTTTTCTTTCTTTTTTTTCTTTTTTTTCCTTTCTTTTTTTTCCCTTTTTTTTTTTTGGTTTCTTTTTTGGGCCGCCCAAGGGGGGGGGTTTAAACCCCCTAACCCCCCCCCCCCGTAGATCCGCGCCTGTTTAATCTTGTGGTTATCTTGTGGTTTCCAAACCACAAGATAACCACAAAATACTTGTAAGATTTTCTTTTTTTTACCGTCTGAATTGGCTTTCACCGTGTGAATGCGGCTAATAACAATAAACACAATTACAATAATGATGAGGGTTATTATTATTATTAATATTATAATTGTTATCATTATTAATATTACTATTATTATCATTATTATGACTTATTAAGTAAGCAAATATCATTCCCCAAAACCTGGGGGGGATGATTGTACATGCCATCCCCCCCACCTTGTGAGGTGGGGGGGATGCATCCCCCTCATCCCCCCCGTTGTCTACGCCCCTGGTAATGTCTACCTTCAAAATTTCTTTGCCTGCTCTAACTACCGCTTCCAAGAAATTATCATCATTACTGGACTGAGGCAACTGTCGTACCACAAACAGAATAAACATAATCAAATCAATAGATGTCATATTTACTGGAGTTTGGGTTGCAGTTTCCTTCTTTGTTTTTCGTACTGGAATTGGGATCTGGGAATGAGATCTGGGTATTGCCCTGTCCCTTTCTTCCTGTCCCTTTCTTTCTCGTACTGTGTGTGGGGTATGGGCCTGAGGGTTCGGATTGGCTCTCTGAGGATTCGGATTGGCTCTCTGAGGGTTATTTGGCCTTGATTCTGTGTTATGTTTTTTGGCAGGTTTGTTTAGATTTGCACTACCCATGTCTTTCTGATTATCCATGTCAGTAACGGCATTTTCATGTATCTGTGCACGATGGGCCTTGGCCGCTTGGGCATAAGTGAGGTTTTCCTGTAATTTTATTTTTTGAATTTGCTTCGCCTCTGCATAAAATTTACAACCTTGGTAAGCTGCAGAGTGGTTTTCACCACATCTGAGGCATTTAGGGTTCTCCTTATTAGGGCAATCTTCGAACTCATGTTCTCCCCCGCATCTAACACATCGGATATTGCCTTTACAAGTTTGCCTAATGTGTCCGAATAACTGACATTTATGGCATCGCGGCACAGGAGGGATATAGTCATCCACTTGCTTTACCTCATACAGAAAATGTATGGATTCGGGTAAGTTTTTACCCTTGAAAGTGAGGAGAACGGAAGGGGTTGCTACCATTTCTCCTTTGATCTTCTTCATAAATCTTTTAGCGTTCACTACATTCTGTTCTTTCAAAACTTCCTCTATTTCCTCGTTACTGATTTGGGGATCAATCTTGTGAATAACTCCTTTAGTGGTTGATTGGCTCCCATCGTATCGTGTAACTTTCACATTAATGCCCGCCAACTGGGTTAATTCCAACAGTTTGGGTATTTGGTTTTCGCTCTCACATCTCACAATCAACATGTTTCTTTCTTTTACCATATCTTTTACTCTGCCTACAAGATCATGAATTTGTTTTACAACCTTCACGGGGTTGGCTCTGCACACATTCTTATTCTCCAATCCAACAATAACTACTTTACCCTCAGAATGAGTTGGTGTCGAGCGGGAGAATTTGGGTATTTTGTTATTCTTTTCATGTAACACTCCATCACTATTGCTTCTAACCCTTGGCCTCTTTTTCGATTTTTTGCGTACTGCCGTTTTCCATGAACAATCTGCAATGTCACTATCTTCCGGGACGCGTTATTTTTTTATGCGGCACAGATTGGGGCTTTTTTTTTAAAGGGGTCTTGATTTACAGACTGTATTATAGACAGTATAAGTAGTAGAGGTCTGTTTTTAATAGTGTTACATGTAATCCACTACCGCATGGAAAATCATTACATCAACAATTAAAATCAAATTGGAAATCTGAAGAAGAGGCAGCACGTCGATAAGGAGAACATCACAATAATTAGTCAATGAAACTTAACTAACTTAAACGAATTGGAATGTTATCTAAACACATAGTTCGCGATGGATATACAAACTTCTTCGCAGCGCTAATCCGCTAGCGAACATGACTAGTCTCACGTACGTGCAGACACTATTCAGAAGGGAAAGAACGTACTTCCCATAGGTTTAACACGCGCCATGCCCCAATCTGTGCCGCATAAAAAAATAACGCTTCCGGGACCGTAGTACCGTCAGAAGATATACCTTCACCTAAATCATGTACATCGTCCCGGTATTTCTCAGTGGTGTGGATCTACAAAATTATCAATAGAGGGCGCGCGAACATAAACTGGCTTGACGTCGGCCGACAAAATTAATCGAGGTTTCGCGTTCGTCTATAAATTCAGGAAGATCAGTTAGGTACAGGAGAGAAATGGAACGCAAAAGAAGTGGTAGATCTACATCCCATCTATTAAATAGTAATTAACCTTTTTATAATCCTACAAAGGATCTTAACTATCGGTTTTCAAAAATACATCTACACCTATCACGATTTTGCATGTAGCTTTAATTATCGACGTAAGTTGTCACCTACACTCTAAAAACACTGGTGAAATGTTTACGTATAATTAAAACTGGTTGGTTTAAAAAGTAACCAACTGTTGTGTTAAGTGCCGTGGTTTGATAATAATGTGGTACGTTCAATTTAGCTAGTTTCAGTTGGTTGGTTAAAATGTCGTGGTTTGCACTTGGGTAATCAAAGTATAGAATTCCCGCCGTTCGACGGTTGGTTAATATATTAACCAAACTATAGTTTTGATCATGTGACATGAAATGAGCCAATTAAATAGACAACGAGAATCAAGCGTCGCATGCGGCATGCAACGAATTTCATCAATTCAATTCAATTCAATTCAGAACTTTATTTCAGACTCAACTACACAAGGCAGAGGTCCATAAAACATATGTTACATAGATATATAGGGAGTATAAACATGATGAGTATAATAACAACAAAACTATACAAAGAGTATAACTAAACTATACTAGGTCTACAGTACGTACAAACAATCTAAACTCTAAGAGTAACATGTAACCTGCAAGGTTGATAAAAAAACAAACACACATAATAAACTAACTCTAAGCTGTACCTGTAACTGTAAGATTAAAATAAGTACATGTATAACAATCAATAACAATCTATTGAAGTTGTATCTTGTAACAATCTGTCTCTGTTCAACTAACCAGAACGATAAACTTATAATAAATAACTATTATAAAAACAAACAAACAAGGATACTGGAATCCTTGGTAACAGGAACATAATGGTCAATTGCCATGTGTCAGCAGGCTATTCAGCCAAAATCTCCAGAGGCCCGATGTGTACCTAAGACAACTATACGAGGGGTTCACTAACATCTTTAAAATACCATTCTCAGACACATCCACTCTCTGGATGAACTTATACATAAGATTTCGTAATACAGCCGAACAGGCTGGAACATTCAACTCAGCAAACATTTGACTAGCACTAATGTATCTAGGTACCCTAAGAAGCATTCTCATGGCATCATTATAGGCAACAGTAAGCCTGTACAAACTGCTCTTCTTAAAATTACACCACAGATGCGCAGTGTATAGAGGTGTACAGTATGCCCTAAATAAAGCCACCTTCACATCCGGAGAACACATATGAAATTTCCTAACAAGCATATTACCTTGAGCATATAATTTACGACACTGTCTACTAAGTATCTTTATCATCACTGAGATCCTCAGTAAAGAAATGACCAAGATACATGGCCTCTGTACAGACATTGAGTTTAGCTCCACACAAATAAAAATCCGGGAATACCAATCTACGGTGTTCCTTACATCTTATTATCATAACATGACTCTTTTTTGCATTATATTTCACATCATTATCATATCCATAATGAGAACAAATCTTGAGCAGACTCTGCAACCCAGCAGTTGATGGGCTAATAATAACGAGATCATCTGCATACATTAAATGATTGACTACGTACCATACCACCAACTACACAGCCTTTTTTACAAGCATTCAGATTGTCAGATAGACCATCCATGTACAGGTTAAAGAGAAAGGGAGAAAGAATACCACCTTGTCTAACACCATTACTGACATGGAATGGTTCAGAGACACTACTTCCCCATCTAGCCATCATTGTTTGATGGGCATACCAAAACACGAGTATCCTAATCAGGTACTTAGGAATACCTCTATCAGTCATTTTCGTAAACAGCTTTTCATGATTTATCCGATCAAAAGCTTGTGAAGCATCAAGAAAACAAAGAAACAAGGAAGAATTTTTGCTACGATAACTCGCAATGATTTCCTTCAGAGCAAATATACACATGTCAGTGCCATGTTTGGCTTTAAAACCGAACTGGTTATCTTTGGTAAGAATATACATCTCTAACCTACCAAGCAATATCTTTTCCAGCACTTTGGACAGGACACTTGCCAATGCTATAGGTCTATAGTTGTCCTTACTAGTAATGCGACCAGCTTTATTTATAATGACTGGCACCAAAACAACGGAAATCATACTATCTGGTAAGATACCATGAATCAAAAAGCCCGAAATGCACATTGCAAGCAACGGCATGAGTTTCGGGCTTGCAAACTTTAGATGTTCAGCTGTAATAGTATCAAGACCACATGACTTATTGCTGTCTAATTTTCTGATAGCTTCTTTAACCTCCTCTGGAGAGATAACCATATTTACATCAAAGTCAACATTAGTAACATCCTGCACCGTACTCTGTACACAATAACAAATCCTTATAATGACTACACCACAATTCACTTATTTTTCATCACCAGAGATACCTTCAATATTAGTTGGAAAAGGGCGCTTTACTATTATTAACACATTTAATTCCTTTCCAAAACTCATAATAACTTTTACCCTGCAATTTACGAGCAACTGAGTCCGCCCGCATAACATTCTCATTATTCTTTATAAAACGGAGAGCATACTTGAATCGTGCATTGGCTCTCTTCTTTAGTTCAAATAACCGTCCCTGTCTGTTTTTGCCAGCTTCAACCCAGAGTAGGTGAGCCTCACGAGCAGCAGAGTGGAGCTCTGACACATGCTCATTCCAGCCAGGCCTAGTATTATGAACTTTGTTTTTACATTGATATAGAGATTCACTAGGATCACATAAGCATTTCACAATTTCATTATATGCATTACATAAATAATTAGCATGGTCTTTGTTCACACAATTGGAATCTCGGCATAAAAGAGCATCGTCTTCATGCACATAAATTCCTTTAAGCAGTAAATCAGTATCATAGTAATAATTATTCCTACGATCTTTTTCAATCTTAGTCCAATCTAGCCTGCCTTTATGTACAGTGTTAGTCATGCCTGAATCACGTAGCCCAGGCAAATTGTCAATATCAATTGTCAAATTAATAGGAATATGATCACCATGGAGTCAGTAGTCGAAAGGCTGTTATCTTGGGGGTTTGAAGGTTAGCTAAACGAATATTTACTCCCGGTATTTACTATACCATTCTACTGATGACAGGCGCGGATCCAGGATTTTTCTGGGGGGGGGGGGGGCAAATTCGAAATCAATTTGAAATTTAGTGTGCTGAAAATCGTGCCAGCCAATATTTCTCTCAGTGGGTGGGGGGGGGGGAGGGGAGGTAGTAAGCACTAATTTTGTTGTTTGGCCCTCGAAAAATTCCCCGGGGGTGATGGGGGTCAGGCCCCCATCACCCCCGGGGATTTTTTTTTCGAGGCCCCCCCCCCCCCTCCTGGATCCGCCACTGACTGATAAATTTGTTGTAATCCATCTGTAGCTGTAACAATTTCCACAATATTTTTAACATTGCAGTATAAAGTCGCCAGAACTTGCCCGCTATTCTCTCTCAGATTGCCATTTCCCTGCTATATATAGTCTATTCTATACTATTTTTAGCAATCGCACAACAGAAAAAATACGGTCATGTAGATCTAGATCTGTCTTGTAGATCCCAAAGAATCAGTGGATTGACTGGTCTAAATTAAGGAAACGGGAATAGAAGTTACAACTAATGGGTTTTGATAAGGCAGGTTTAGAGTGGTTCAGATCCTACTTGTCTAATCGACACTAAGTAGTGGCCATTCGTGATATTCGTTCCAAACTATAATGCCCATAATATGCGATGTTCCTCAGGGAAGCATTTTAGGCCCAATTCTATTTACAAGTTATATCAATAAAAAGACTTTAAAATACTATTGTATACGCAGATGACGTACAGCGTACTACTCTATTCAAATCCTAATCCAAAATATCTTGAGGAAAAGCTCAGTGAACAGCTGTATACGTGCGTCGATTGGATGACTGATAATAAGCTTTCTTACACTTAGGACAAACAGAAAGCATTTTGTTTTGTTCGAAAAGTAGCCTTCTAAAAAGTCATTTGAATTCAAAATGACACATAATAATCAAGTAATCAAGAGAAAAGAATCTGTGAAGTATTTAGGCATTGAGTTGGCTAGCGCAATTTTATTTGCATCTTTAGTAGAATCAGATGTAAAAAAGCACATTCTCGTTTGAATTTTTTTTAAAGATATCAAAGTTGTATGGATTTAAAAGCGAGACGTATATACTCTGTCTTGCTCTCATTCAATGTTTATTTGATTATGCTAACCTTGCATGGTATATAATTTAATACAAGAAATAGCCGATTCAACTTTAACTTGCCAGAAAGAGGATTGGTATAATTCGTTTTCTTATATACAATGACATAAAACATTGGAATTCCCTTCCTAATG